GGGTCAGGTTCCTTTAACTCTGCCTCTGATCCAGGTGCCACGTAATGCACAATAGCTCATCTCTTGCATCCAGAGTGTCTTAGAAGAAATTCATTCTCTTCTTCAGGCAGCAAAGGCATCAATGCGGCAACATTCACCATGTCCTTCTCAGATTCTGTGGTATCTTCAATGGTTTATTGAGAGGGAGAACTCATAGGTTCCGGAACAGTTAGAAAGGCTGTCGAGGAGTTGGGCATGTTTTGCTCCCGCACTGTTTGCGAGTTTGCAGCTTTTCTATGGTCCATGCGCTTGTTCAGGATCGTCGCACCTCCCAAACTTAGTCACTGGACCTGACATCATGTTGATCATGCCTCTTACTCATGCAGGACATTCCTGTGATTCCTACACTAAACTTTGTTCTGTGAAGTAAACTGTCTCTCTCGCTTAGCGGAGTCGTGTGTCCGGCACTAGCATTCCTAATGCCATTTCAATAATTAGTTTTTTTCCCTAGGATGGGGGATTTCAACATAGGAGGCATATTTTTAATGGTGAGAGGAGAGAGATTTTAAAAAGACATGGGGGGCAAATTTTTTTAGACAAAGGCTGGTTGCCGTGTGGAAAGAACTTCCTGAGGAAGTGGTGGAGGTGGGTACAATTACAACGTTTAGAAGACATTTGGATAAACAGGAATGGTTTGGAGGGATATGGGCCAGGAGTAGGTAGGTGGGACTAGTTTAGTTTCGGATTATACTCGGCATAAACTGGTTGGACCAAAGGGTCTGTTGCCGTGCTATATGACTCTATGACTCTATAACAAAGCGAAAAGAATACTTTAGTAATTTTTGCTGAGCATAGGAATCTATTCATGCTTTCTGTCAACCTCAGTCAACAAAACAGGTAAATTGGGGATTTCATTTACTTTGTAGAATCGCTAATTTTACCATGACTCAAGAAACAGTAGAACTTGATTTCCAGCATGCTACCCTGGTGAGGTGTTAAAAGAAGTGGATAGTGAAATAGTTGATGCATTGGTTTTAATTTTGTAATAACCCCTGGATTCAAAGAAGGTTTCATCAGATTTGGAGATAGCAAATGCAACTTTTTTATTGAGAAAGGGAGTGAGACAGAAAGCAGGAAATTACAGGCCAGTTAGCTTAACATCTGTCATAGGGAAAATATTACAAGTTATTATTAATGAAGTTATCACAATCAATTTAGACAAGTTCAAGGTAATCAGTTAGAGTCAACACAGTTTTCTAAAAGAAAAACTATGTTTAACCAATTTATTGGAGTTATTTGAGGAAATAACACATGCTGTAGAAGTAGTAGATGCACTGTACTCAGACATCCAGAAGGCACTTAATAAAGTGTTGCCAAGGTTTTTTTTTACAGAAAATAAAACTCATGATAGAAAGAGTGATACATTGGTGTAGATAGAAGATTGGCTAGCTAACAGAAACAGTAGACATGAATAGGTCACTTTCTGATTGGGAAGCTGTAATGAGTGGCATGACACAGGGACTGATATTGGGACCTGAAGTGATTACAATTCATATAAATAACTTGGATGAAGGGACAGAGCTATGGTGGTCAAATTTGCTGATGACACAAATATTGGTCGTCAGTTGTGAAGAGGACTTAAATTATCTATATTTTTCAGACTCTTTAAGCGAGTGGGCAAAGAGTTAACACCAAATATAAAATGGGGAAATGCAAAAACATCAATGTGTGCAAATTTATTTCCTTCCTAAAAAAGTCTTTATACCAAGAGATTAGTATAAAAATGGAGATGGAGCTCTGAAATGCAGAGATATCTCTGTGCCCCAGTACATGAATTACATTTAGTATATAAGTACAGCAAATTAAGAGAAGAAACTAACAGAATTATACAGGCAAGTAAATAGAAAGTAGGGAAGTTACATTTCAGTTATACAGAACATTAGTGAGACCACATCTGTAGCCTTGTTGTACAGTATTAATCATCCAACTGTGCTGCGCACCCTCATAGAACATAGAACAGTACAGCACAGGAACAGGCCCTTTGGTCCACCATGTCTATGCCAACCATGATGCTGTTCTAAACTAATCTGCCTTTTTTAAAATATTTTTTGGGATGCAAGTATCGCTGGCTGGCCAGGATTTATTGTCCACCCCTAATTGCCCTCGAGAAGGTTGTGGTGAGCTGCCTTCTTGAACCGCTGCAGTCCATGTGCTGTAGGTCGACCAACACCTCCATTAGGGAAGGAAAGCCAGGATTTTGACCCAGCAACAGTGAGGAATTGTGATACAAGTCAAGATGGTGAGTGGCTTGGAGAAGAACTTGTAGATGGTGATATTTCCATGTATCCGCTTCCCTTGTCCTTCTAGATGGAAATGGTCATGGGTTTGGAAGGTGCTGTCTGAGGATCTTTGGTGAATTTCTGCAGTGCATCTTGTGGGTAGTACACACCACTGCTACTGAGTGTTGGTGGGGGAGGGACAGGATGTTTGTGGATGTGATACCAATCAAGCAGGTCGCTTTGTCTTGGATGGTGTCGAGCTTCTTCAGTGTTGTTAAAGCTGCACACATCCAAGCAAGTGGGAAGTATTCCATCACACTGACTTGTGCTTTGTGGATAGTGGACAGGCTTTGGGGAGTCAGGAGGTGAGTTACTCGCCATAGTATTCCTAGCCTCTGATCTGTTCTTATAGCCACTGTTTATGTGGCAAGCCCTGGTCAACGGTAACCTCCAGGATGCCGATAGTGGGAGATTCCGTTATGGTAACACCACTGAATGTCAAGGAGTGGTGGTTGGATTGTCTCTTATTGGTGATGGTCATAGCCTGGCATTTGTGTAGTGCGAACGTTAGGGGCTGTCACCTCTGGAATTCAGCTCTTTCGTCCATGTTTGAACCAAGGCTGTAATGAGGTCAGGAGCTGACTGGGCCTGGCAGAACCCAAACTGAGCGTCACTGAGTAGGTTATTGCTGAGCAGGTGTTGCTTGATAGATAGTTGATGACACCTACCCTCATATTACTGATGATCAAGAGTAGACTGATGGAGGGGGTTAGATTTGTCCTGCTTTTTACGTACAGGACCTAACTGGGCAATTTTCCACATTGTCATGTAGATGCCAGTATTGTAACTGCACTTGAAGGGCTTGGTTAGGGGAGCAGCAAGTCTTCAGTACTATTGCCAGAATGTTGTGTCTCCAACCTTTTCTTGATATCACGTGGAGTGAATTGAATTGGCTGAAGATTGATATCTGTGAGGCTGGGGAGCACCAGAGGAGGTCAAGATTGATCATCCATTTGGCACTTCTAGGTGAAGATTGCTGCGTATGCTTCAGCCTTATCTTTTGCACTAATGTGCTGAGCTCTTCCATCATTGAGGATAGGGATATTTGTAGACCCTCCTCTTCTAGTGAGTTGTTTAATTATAATTAGGTTTATTGTCAAGATGTATTGACATGAGTTCAGTGAAAAGTTAACAAAGTTGTCACTTATGGTGCCATCTTAAGTACAAAAGTACAAAGATATAGCATCTTAATAATAAATTGGAAAAATAAAGAAATAAAATGTTCAGCATTACAATCCTTCAAGCAGACTGCACCCAGCCTTTCCTCCAGACTCGCACTAGGCCCCTTCTCTAGGCTGCATCAAACTCAACCTTTATACTGCACAAAGCACACAGCCACGCTCAAGGCGCCAAGCTCCACCACAGACGATGACCTACTGAGCATCGAGCACTGTTGCAGCCAGCGACCCATCCGCTCCCGCTCTGGGCCTACGGCAGCCCCATTCCGGGCATCAAGCTCTACCATAGCCGATAACCCATTGAGGTTGAGTCCAGGCTCCAGGCCTAGTGAACCCAGGAATCCTCGACCTGGACACTGCCACCATGGCTACCAACGACCCTCCATCGCCGCTCAGATTTCCCCACAATGTCAGAAGATGAAAGAAAAGACAGAAGGTGGGGGAGGGAGAGAGATGGATGTAGCTGGCCTGGAGCATGCAGGTTCAGAAGCCCTCACGTTCCCTACCAAAATTACCATTTCACAACTCGTTGTGGCAGGACTGCAGAGTTTTGATCTGATCTGTTAGTTGTGGGCTCGCTTAGCACTATCACGTGCTGCTCATGCTGTTTGACACATAAGGAGTCCTGGTTCATCAGATTGACACTTTTTTTTTCATATGCCTGGTGCTGCTCTTGGCATGCTCTTCTGCACTCTCCAGTGAACCAAGGTCGATCCCCTGGCTTGATGGTAATGGTTGATATGCCAGGCCATGAGACTGCAGATTGTAGCAGAATTCTGCTGCTGTTGATGGCCCACAGTGCCTCATGGATGCCCAGTCTTGAGTTGTTAGACCTGTTCTAAGTCTGTCCCATTTAGCACACAACCTGATGGAGGCTATTCTGAATGCGAAGGCAGGACTTCATCTCCACATGGTCCCTATCCCTCGGTTCCCTGTCTGGTTGTGTGTCTGTCTAAATGCCTTCTGTACCAAGCCTCTTGACAAGCAGTACCCCCTTCATTCTGATCCTCTAACAGTGTAATTCTCCCTCAGTATTAACTCTCCGACAATGCCATACTCCCTCATTACTGAAACTCCAGTAATGTAGAACTCCTTCAGTAATCACGCTCCAGCAATGCAGTGATTCCTCAGTATTGACCTTCCCAGGACGCTCTCAGTACCGTCCCTCCAAAAATGTAAGACATCGCCTCATTGACTCAAGCGTGTCTTGCAATGAGGTTTTCAAGTCACACCAGAACAGGAGAGAGCAGATTAGGATGTGAGATAAAGTCTATGCATTGGGGTATGGTGTAGAGGGGTTGTATATATGGGTAGTTGCATCTGTATCTGGGGTAGGGTTTTCACGGCTGTGTTTATCAATGTGTAGGGGATAAGTGTGCACGTGTACATGTGTGTTGGGTGGGGGTGTTTGCATTTAGGGATATTTAAACGTGCGCGTTTGTGTGTGGGTGTGTGTGTGTGTGTGAGAGGAGGAGGGTGGCACTGGCAGTGATGTGGCACTTACCAAAGACAGCGAGGTCAATCAATTTACTATTCATCTCATCCCAGATGTACCAGATGACCGCACGATAAAGGCCCTCATCTGACTTGACCACTGAGAAGATGGTGAGCTCGAATAAGGTCGACAACTCCATCCGGGCGGCAAATGGCGATAAACAGGTCCGGGATCGGTTTCCCAGTTTCTCACACAGGACAACCGAGGCACCGCGCTGTGATCTGCGGTATCCCCACTGGATGATTTCAGGGTGTGCCTTCAAGCCAGGAGATAACTTTATCGGCTCCCCGATCGTAGCGTTGATGGTCTCAGTTGGTGTCCAGATGGCCTGACCCTGGCCTGTAAACAGGGAGATTGAGAGGCAGCATGAGTGATGGAGACAATCCGCCTTTCCCCACCCACAGTTCCCATCCGTCCCCCTGTAATCCCACCTCTTCACACCCTATCCCTCCCATCAGACCCATGGCCAGACAGTCCGCTGCTTTCACCACCTCTTTGAGAAGGTACAGACATGTGAATTAGGAACACGAATAAGCCATTCAACCCCTTCAGCATGCTCCACCATCACATAAGATCATGTCTGATCTGACTGTGGCCTCAACTCCACTTTCCTGCCTGTCCCTGATAATCACTGGCTCACTTAGAGGGAAGAAAGTTCCAAAAATCCTTGACACTCTACAAAGAAAATTATTTTTCATCCCCATCTTGAAAGGGAGACACCTGATTTTTAAATGGTGATTCTAGTTCTAATCCATCTGCTCAAGTCTCTTCAGGATTTTGTAAATTTCTTTGACATCACGCCTCATTCTTCTAAACTCCAACCTGTCGAACTTTTTCTAAGATAACCCCTCCCTTCCTACCATCTCAGGAATCAGTTATGAACCCTCTCTGAAATGATTTTAACACATTTACATCAGAGCTTAAATAAGGAGACCAGAACTGCACCCAGTACTCCAGATGTGTGGTTTCACCAAAGCCCTTTTCAAATCTGACAAAACTTCCCTAGTTTTATATTCCATCCCTTTGCAATAAGCACCAACATTCCATTTCCCTTCCTCATCACTTATTGTGATTTTGTGAACCGGATCGAGATTCCTCTAAACCACAGATCTGCAATCTCTCCCCACCTGTACAATATGCTTTTTTATTCTTCCTGCTCCAGTGGACAGATTTACATTTTCCCACATTATATTCCAACTGCCAAATTTTTGCCCATTCACTTAACCTATCCATATCACTTCATAGATTCTTTAAACCATCCTTTTCAACTTACTTCCCCACTTACATTGGTCCTACCATCAAATATAGCAACAATATATTTCCTTCCTTCATCTATTTATACAAACTGTGAACAGTTGAACCCAACCCTGATCCCTGCGGCATTCCACCTGTAACATCCGGCCAACCCCAAAATGACACAATTTATGCCTCAATCCAAGTGACATGTTCTGTCCTCCAATAACGACTTTTAGCTTGCTTAGCAAGTTTTCACATCACATTATGTTAAATGCCTTCTGGAAATCAAGGTACATCACATCGACAACTTCTCCATGAGCTGGCTCAGAACTCGAATGTAGATGGACTTCTCTTTAAGCTATATCTTTTCATTTTTCTCTTACTCTTAAACAATCCAATGTCACTGTATTGTGGCAAAGAATGAAAGCTGTTCACTGTATTTTAATGTTTTTCTCACTGTAAAATACATGTGACAATAAATCATTCATCCAAAGAGCACTAGATGATTTCCCTTCCATACATTCATGTTCACACTGTCTGACTGGATTGAGGTTTCCTAAGTGCCCTGCTATAATCTCCTTAATAACAGATTCTAACATCTTTCCTGTGCTACCTGTTAGGCTAACCGGCCTGTAGTCTCCTGCTTTCTATTTCCTTCCTTCAGGGAAGGGAGAAGTTACATTTATAATTTTCCAATCTGTTTTCTCAGCATCCATTCTCTGCTGATATTAATGATTTCAGGTTTCTCCCTCTCTTTCACCTCTTAACACCCAATGATTTTGATGATATTTCTATCCTCTATAATGAAGATAGAAAGAAAATATCTGTTCAATTCATCCAGTATTTCCTTACTTTCCATTATCAATTGAGTGGACACTCTCTCAAGAGGATCAAATCTCATTTTAGTTTCTTTCCTTTTTAAAATTCACGTCATTTCTACTGCTTTTATATTTCTAGCCAGCTTTCTCTTTATAAACTAATTTCTTCCACAGTATTTTTATAATCATTGTTTTTGTTTATATTATGACCTGTCACTAATCACAGAATTTTATGTGTTTTCTTTCAATTTAATCTTTTTTATTCATGGATGGGATATGGCTGGGCTAGCGCTTATTGTCCCTGAGCTGAGTGGCTTGATTGGGCTATTTCAAAAGGCTACTAACAGTAAACCACACTGCTCTGGAGCAGGAGTCACACGTAGGTTAGACCAGGTGAAAATGACAGATTTCCTTCCAAAAGGACATTAGTGAACCAGATGGGATTTTACAACAATCAATAGTGGTTACATGGTTACTACTAGGCTACTTTTTAATTCCAGATTATTTATTAACTTCTAATTTCACCAACTGTCACAGTCAGTTCAAAATCATGTCCCTAGTGCATTAACTTAGTGATCTGAACACAATCCTCAACTTTCTTCGTAAGGGTGCACCCTTCTACTGGAGCTACTTCTTTCTCAATGGAATGTATCTTTGCTGAGTGTTGCAAGATAGCTTCTTAAAATCTACAATCTAAAATCATTTCTACTGGCCCGTCCCTTATCCTAATTTCAGTTCATATTAGCCCAGTCTGTCCTCACAACCTCATTATATCCCTTGCATAATTTTAAAACATTAGTTAGGCCTATGCTTTTCTCCTTCAAACTGAATGCAAAACTCAATCATATTACAATTATCATATGATGGGACTGCACCAGGAACACAGGTTTGATTCTATCCATGGGCGACTATGTGGAGTTTGCATATTCCTCCCATGTCTGCACGCGTTCCCTCCTACAATCCAAAGATGTGCAGGTTAGGTGGCTTAGCCATGGGAAAATGCAGGGTTACAGGAATAGAGTAAGTGGGTGGGTCTGAGTGGGATGCTCTTCATAAGGTCGGTATTGACTTGACAGGCCAAACAGCCGGCTTCCACACAGTAGGGATTTTATGAAAATCTGGGATCTCCCTTACTGTGGGGTCATTAATTGATCCTGACCCTTGCATGTCATGTATGCTGTCTGTGAAACCTTTTTACAAAAACATCTTACGTTCTCATCTCCCACTCTTCCTGGTTCATCTGCTCTACAATTAAATAAAAATCACATTTTCTAAATCTACAAATCACAATTCTTGGTTTCTGATCTTAAGAACCAATGTAATCTCTCTCTCAGGATCACTGGTGCTCCCACAGAGACCAGGATGACTCTCGCCCACCCTCAGGGTGAGTCTGTAGGTGGCTGTACAGACTGATGTGACTTCCACAGACTCTGTCACACTTGGGAGGAGAAGGTGACTGTGGGAAGGGTCGGGTGTGGCGTTGGGTGTGGCAGCATGCTCCTTATGCTGTTTCTGCCTAGCTTCCATTTTATCCCGATGGCGGCGAGTCTCGTGGTGCTCAATGCCTTCCCAGACGCTCCTTCTCCACTTTGCATGGTCTTTGGGCTAGTGATTCCCAGGTGTCTGTGGGATCGGGCCCACTTCATCAGTGAGATGTTGAGGGTATCCCTGAAGCGTTTCCTCTGTCCACCTTGGACTCATCGCTGTTTCAGAGCTGGGAGTAGAGCACCTGCTTCGGGAGTGTCATATCAGTCGTGCAGATGATGTGTTCAGCTCATTGTAGCCGATCGGGGTGGTCAGTGCCTTGATGCTGGGATGGTGGCCTCGTTGAGGACGCTGATATTGGTGCGTCTTGTTTCCTAGTGGATTCGCAGGACCTTACACAAGCAGCGTTGGTGTTACTACACCAGCACCTTAAGGCATCTGCTATAGACAGTTCATGTCTCAGTGTATATGAGGCCAGGAACCACCACAGCTCTGTATACCATGAGCTTAGTGTCAAATCTGATGTTATTGTCCTTGAACACCCTTTTCCTCAGGTGACTAAAAACTGCGTTATCATACTGCAGGCAGTGCTGAATCTCTTCACCAATATCTGTTTTGGTTGATAAGACACTCCCGAGATATTGGAAGTGACCAATGCTCCCTGTGGAGGTTGATGATTGGGGTTTGCTCCACAATGCTGGGTCAGGTTGATGGA